ACGCGATGAGTATATATTTTGCGGAAAGGACAAGCATAATAAGTGCGATTAAGCCGATGCTTAAAAAATAATACGTCGTTATATGCTATTGTTAAAAAAAAATCGTAAAATACAAAAAATATGAACTTTGAATGCGTTAAAAGTTAATTTTCCATGTAAATTAAATATATATTAAAATTATAATAGATAAAAAACTGTTTTTTTTTTATATTTTAAATAATGTTTTTGTCAAATTAAGAAAGAGAAATTCTATTTTTGATCAAAGCAAATCTTAGTGCTTAAATATATCGGTATGAATTTACATACAGTTCTGCAAATAGCGCACCGAAATTGTTTTTAGTCTTGAAACGCAATCATAAACAGAACTAGAATAGTAAATACATATTAAAGCATTACAATCTTTAAAATTATTAATAATTTGATATTAATAAGACTCTTAAAAACTGCGAATAATTTTGCGAAAAATATTACTTCAGTCGTGATTCCAGATTTCCTGTATTCTGTGCGAATATCCTTCCAATTCGATCATCGAGGATTCGGTAATATTCTTTGCGATAAGTTATTGCAAAGAATATTACCGAAGCCTCGAATGATCGAATTGGGAAGACGCCTGCAGGGTAGATCCGGGTTGGAATCCCGACTAAGGTAATATTTTTCTAAAAAATTATTCGTAGCTTTAAGACCTAATTGCACCATCGTCTTTTTGAATTTAAGCGAGATATAAAACTCTGTCTTATTTTAAAACCGAAAAAAAGAGTTTCAAGCCTCGTTTAAAGTAATGTTGATACAATCAGGCCTTAGAGCTGTGCTGGGATTTATTTACACATTTAGGCCGATTTTTAACTTGGTTTTTACTCCTTACTTCATCACCCGCGCCAATAGGCATTTAGGCTGCGCGCGGATTGGTGAAATAAGGGGCAGGAATCAAGTTGAAAATCGAAATGTGCAAGTAAATGCAGTGCCTTAGAGTCTTATTAATATCATATTATTAGTATCCTCATTAGATGTATATTAGCATTAAAAATTATTAAATATGGCTTGTCAATTTAATGTATAATGTTATTACTCTTTTGTCCTTGATTGCGCTTCAAGATTGTAAAAGATTTCGGCGCACGATTTGTAGAATTGGATATGTATATAAATTTATACCGCGAAATATTTATAAGTATTAAGATTCGCTCTGTGACTGAAAATAGAAATTTCTTTTTCTTTATTTGATTTATTCTTATAAATCTAATCTCAAATTATAATATTCTGTTTTTTAACAAACAAAAGGGATAAGTTTTAAAGCGAAAAACATTTGATAGAGTTTGATCCGTATAAATTTTTCGCTAGCGTTTTAAATTAAAACTGGAAAATACAGGAAAACTAAGTAAGTGACGTGAGACAAAAATTTAAAAAGTTTTCTCATAATATATCTTGTTTTCTTGGGTCTGATCCTTCCACTTTAGGTCAAATTTTTTTTACTTTTTGTGTTTACGTAAAAAAAGGGTACGCATTATTTAATTCTATCTCACTTTAAAGAGACATATCATTATTTTGTTTTTAATTTACTGAACTCTTCAACAAGATCAAAATGATGCACTAAAATGAGTTTCTAAAATATTTTTTATTAGTCTTTATATTCTAAAAACATGACTATCTTGCTCGTATATGTATAACAATAATCAATAAAAGTAGCTATGAATGAAGAATAATTTTTTATTAGCTTTATTAGAAAAGAGTCGAGCAAATATATCATTTAAATTATGCTTCGTTCACGATATTCAAAAGGAATTTTACTTATTTTATACATAGATTTGGATCCGCGTACAGAGAGAATAGCATGTCAAATTACAGAGTATAAAAAATAAATTAAAGCTGCACAAGTACCAATTGTTACAACAGCTGCACCTGTGTTATGACTTTATCAATGTATACATGAGGTATATTAATTTTGCTATCACTTACAGATAACAAAATGTCTGCCACAGTGACTGTACTTATGATTTGTACTTACTGATAGTAGTGATAGTACTTTAAATACTCTCAGAATTCATGAGAAATTGCAACTATGAGCGTATGCGCGAGATGACGCAAATATTCAGATTATTCACGTGTGATTATTCACCATGACAGCTACGTATATTATAATTGTCAAATAAACAGCGTATTAAGTGCAACATTATCCCTTTACATTAATGATACGATAAGGAAAGCAAATCCATTTTATTGAATGTTAAGTACATATGATTGAACTGTATTCATTTATTATATAAATTTCTACAAATTGCTATTAAATAATCTCAAAATATTCGCATGTTATAGAATTCTTTAGTTTTATTGTTATTACATTCACGTTAAGGGATTACGTTCATTCCAAAAAATTTCTTTTGTGAACAACTTTTTAATAATAATTAAATAAATAATGAACGCGACGGTCTTAACTTTTAATTTGAAATCGAAAATATCAATAGCAAAAGGTATATCACTAGTTTTTAAACAGTGTGCCTTTAAAAATGTCCAACCACAGAGCATGAAGTTTGCGCCGTCAGGTGCGGCGCAACTAAGCGGCCGGCTGCGCAAACGCTTTGACGGATACTGTTAAACAACACGGTACCGAGTATTGCAAAGGTGAAATCTCTATATCTATATCTATACTAACATCTACTGTGGTATTCTTAAATTGAGTCAATCGCTTGGTAATACTGAATTTTCAAAAAATAAAACATTATTTGATTTAAAACTGTGTGTTAAGCAAAACCAATTTTATCAAATACATATCAAATTGGAAATCTTTTTGTAAAAAAATTCGCATCCAAGTGCAATTTGTAGCTTAAATTAAAACGTCATTAGTGCATTATGTAAATGAATTAAAAATCTATATTTTATTAATGTTCGGCAAACACAATACTACTATACTCTCAAAACGCGTATGAAATTGTTAAACTTTGTGCTAGTACTTTTAAATTATTTGTTTAATAAACAAACAACTATTATTATATATGATGTAATAGATGCGGGATAATATATTATGTAATTGGAAAATAGAGATCAAACTTCGGAAATTTGGTTTTTAGCCAGCTTTTTCAAATTTTAGACTACTGTGCGACGTTTAATTTTGTCGTCTGTGAAAATAGAAAGACAAGAGGATGCCGTTTCGCTCTCGTCGGACAGTTATAACACAGTAAAGACTGAAGAGCCTCCGCACAGATAACCAATTATCCGCAGAGAGGGGACCGAAATACGACAGATGCGCCCCGACGCGATTCGCCGTGATGGCGCGCCGTCACAATCGTCGGATTAGCGCAAATCCTCATGGATCGGTTAGATGCAATTAAGTGCATCGTGCGTGGACAAGAACGAAATGTTCGCACAGACTCCCGCGGGGCTTGTACTTGAACTCTCGCACGCAAATGTTGCTATTCCAACAACAAAGGCTGCATCTTCCTTGTCTCTGCTTTGTGTTCAAAAAAGGAAACTTTTGAGAGCTGAAGTTAATATATTCGTTTTTCATTAAACATTATTTTTTTCATTATTTTATAATGTGTTCCCTTAATATATTCGTTAGCCAAATGTGCACATTACAATTCAGCAAAGCAGACATTTTTGTCATTATACTTTAACGTTAAAATGGCAAGTAATCTTAGTTGGCTGGGAAATAGAGGGTGGAGAGGAAAAAGAGGAAGAAGAGGGTGAGAAAGAAGGAGGATCAAAAGCGAGAGAGAGAGTGAGGAAGAGGAAGGGAGGAAGAAAAAAGAGTCATATACAATGTCGAAATTAAAGAGAAATTATCGGTAACGCGAATCATCCGGGGTTAATATCGAGTTAAACGTTGAGCCATGTGGGCAAAGTTGAGTAAACTCATCCTATAATGCCGGGCCACAATGTAGAATGGTGTAATGTCGAATCCGCCGGGGGCCCATCGAGAGCTAACCGAAGAACCGCCGCTATACGGCCGCCGTTGCCGCATCGGCGACGAGTTATATCCGGATATCTGAACCGGTGGTAAAGCCGGTGGCGCTCGTACGAGGAACTATTACTGTCCCTTGGGAACGACCATCCATCTCCATCGGATCCTTCTCATGCGCGAGTCGGAATCGGCCGCTTCGGTCTCTCGCTTGTCCCACTCCACGTTAGGAATACGCAGGCGCATGCAGTACTCGATATGCTAGCTATTAACCCTCCGTGCGTGCGTGCTTTTTGAAAAATGAACAGGCTCGGCTTCGTGACTGAAATGTAAAGTGGCGTCGTGCCCGACGGCCCTCGAAAGCCGAAACCGATGATATCCGCGGTATACAATTCTTTTCCCATCACGGATTGAGTTGCCAGACTGTTAACGAGTGCGTCGATGAACTATTGTGCGCGATGGATATTTGACCATAACGAATATTGTTATCTCTTCAATGCTCTTGTATATCATATAATCTCTCGTATCGTAGAAAATAAAATCGGATTTATGCCCAACTTGTTTGATTAAAATATTTCTCATTAAAATTCTACTGGAATAATTATTTTCATACGAAAACCTTGAAAAAGGAGCAGTAATGAGTATACGCTTAGGAAACCACATTATCAAAATGCCATACTACCGTTTAACTTTGCATAACTCAAAATGTATACAATAAAAAAAAATTAGATAACAAATAACATATTAAAATATACATGGTATAGTTGCGTAACAATATGCTCAAGTTTAAGAAGAATAAGGAAGCATGTGTAATCATATAAATGCTAAAGTGTACCTTAAAAACGTTTCAAAAATAAAAATGCTTTGTAATAACTACTGATTATTGATATATTAACGTCATGGTATAATTACGACTTAGTGAACAAATAATTTCATAAGTAATCACTAAAATTTTCTGCCTATAATAGGAGATATGAGGATCCATGACATCTACACTGGCTATAATACTACCACCTTTTTCTCTAAGAAATAATCTCCAATAATTCATTCCTATTTGTTCAATTGCTATGAATATAAATAATACATTCCAATCATTGAAACTTCGACTCACCTGTATATTAGCTTTCGTCTAACACTCCTCTTGAAAAAACCACTGCAGCCGTTGCAGGCGAGTATTCCATAATGTTTGCCGGAACTAGTATCGCCACAGACCACGCATATGAGGCCGAGACTACGTGGTGGTTTGCTGCCATGCTGTGGTTGCTGTGGCTGCTGTTGTTGCTGTTGTTGCTGCTGATGCTGTACCTGACCCAGCAAATGCGGATGACCGTTTCCAAGTGCAGTTAGATACGGTGACCGGGCTAGAGGAAAGTCCGTCGGCATTCCTCTGCAGAGAGGTACCGGACATTCTTGAACCGATCGGGAAGCATAAGGATCGTGGCTTGACGTAGACCCCGTCGCTCCCAATGGACTGTAACGTTCCGGCAAACCCGGGGAAATGACGCTGCTCTCGCCGGAGTCTGGAATGCGAATTTATTTACATAATTTTTGCAATAATTAGGGTTTGATAAGAAGAGTGATAAGAAAGAGAATGTCAGCAAAATTTAGCATTTCAGAAAAATTTCACTTAAATTTCATTGACTTTAAACTGAAAAATTCATTTTCAGCAAAATTTCAGCAATTCATACAAATTTCAGCGATTTTTCAGTATGTTAACTGAAAATTTCAGTGAAATTTCAGTAAATTTTTAGCTGAAATTGTATCATTTTTAGCGAAATTTCAGTAAAACTTTTCCGCCAGACCTAACATAGTCATGTACGATTATATATAACTGTACTTGGTCATACATAATCAATTTAGAGTGGCCCTTATACTTGATAAAAAAATATTTCACGTATTTGTTTGTCGATCTCCCCAGAACAGTACCAAATATTAAAAAATCATCGTGAAAAATAATTTCTGTAAACAAAATTTTTATTGCAATTGGATAAAAAGAACACATGTCGACGGACATCTTGTAACATAAAATTTGGCATTAGAATGTCAATATCAATAATAGTTCTATTTCAACAAAGAAAATTTGCAACAGTTGCAAATGGCTCTATTAGTATGAATAGTCAGATGCTAAAAATTTATGTATGAATGTATACAACTATGTACGATCATGTATCGTGCAAAGAGTTCGATATGCTACTATATGGAATTATACATATGATCATGGATGGTCGTATAATAATTCACATATGATCATGTATGGTTCCATACAAATCTGTACATGAATGTATATGACCATGCACGAAATATACACTTAACCATTCATGATAATATAATAGCATTCAAAATTATACATTATTTAGTGCATGACTTTGTGTGTCTATGTATAATCATGTACAATCATACATGGATCATTTTTTCCCGGGCTTATTTTAAACGTATATTAAGATTTAAGAAGAGAAAATGTAAATACTACTTTTAAGATTTGTAAAAATAACATAAAAATATCCTATTTGTTTGATGAAAATATAGAAGCCAAAATTATAATGTCTGTACATTTTTTAGTTCATCAATCGAATTTATGTATATTGTTGAATTGTTGCACCGTTATGCCGTTGCGTCTAAGGGTTCTTTCATCAACTTCTGGTTAAATTAATCGACGATTAACTCGCAGAAGTGCCAGTAATTTAAAGTATCAGAACGTCTTCTCTCTCTTTTTCTTCTAACACGAACTGTATTTAGTTATCTCGTTAACAATCGTGATAATCGCATGTGTTATTCATTGATTAGTGTTAAGAGGATCCTAAAATCGTCTGTATTACTGACTAAACACAATAATTTTTATATAATAATTATTTATTTTTTCCTCTTTTACAGATTTGAAAATCTGTTTCCAGGATTAAAGTTTACGCATTGATACATGTCTGCGAAGTGGAGTTTACGCCGAGAATGAAAAAAAATTGTATAAATCGAAATTTTCTTTATCATTTCTTATTCCAATATGACGTGGATCAATATCATATCATTTACTTGATATAAAAGCTTTGCAATCTTGCGAAATTGTAGTCCACTAGTAGTTTATGTGAACGAACAAAAAATTTTTTTCTTAAAGGTATTCAAAGTTCAAAATGCGTGTCTAAACTAGGATAATCGATATTTTCAATACTTAAAAAAAATATATGAAAAAGTCTTTTTTATTTTTTACTGATTGAAGACATGCAAATTAGAAAAAATATTTTGTTTGTTTGTTAAATATATATAATATAAATTTGTTTTTATAGATAGCGACAGTACATTAATTTTTTATTACTTATAAGTTACAATCCGTCTAAATTAACAAGTTTGGTATCAAAAGGATATTGCTCAAAGGATATGAGCTTAAAGAACATGTTAATTATACAAATTATAACTGTAAATAATCTGTATCAATAATAAAATAATTCAATATGAGTAGAGAATTAAGTTAATGTATATTGTCTCCATATAGGCGTCGCCGCATCGAAATTTTTCAAAACGGAACTTCCAAAGAGAAAAATTATATCAAGTTAATTCACAATTGGTAAATTATTGTCTTCAATATTAACATTCACGAATTTATAGTCTTGTAGCAGATTTAATACAATTGCAGAGGTCACAATTCAATGACAGTGTCTTTGAATTTTCTCGGGGAACGTGTGATCGCCAAAAGTAGTAAAATAATTATTGTAATTCAACACCCACTTCATATTTCCTCATTTTAGATCGAAACATCGAATAATTTCGTACTTTTATTAAACGCATTTGTGGAGATATTTGCACGCAAATTACAAATGTAAAATAAAATTGGAATTGTTAATAATATTAGTTTGATCCTTGCGCAATTTAATTGAAAATATCGTTCGATTGTTAAATTACCTCGCGCTTACCTGTGATTATAACTTTAATTACAGTTTTAATTATAACGAGCTCCAATTTAGCTGAATTACTTATGGCATTTACATATTTCTATTAATTTAATTCATTACATTTTCAATGAAACAACAAGGCAACAGTTTTTAACAGTTTTTAACATTATAATTTTTTATAATTTTGTGCATAATATAAAAATTAGTTTCATTTATTATATATTAAATAATTAGTTTATTTTGAACGAAAATCAATATAATTCTTTGTGTATCGCGACTAAGCGGGAAAAAATAAAATCGGATTATTTCACTCAACCGCAGTTATAGGTATCTGACTGTGGCAATTCATTATCTTTTTCGATCGCAGAACCGCTTCTTGGCAATACGATGAAAGGCTCGAGATTTATGATCAAAATATCATTTTTCCACAATCAGTTCGACGTTTTCATTTCGAGCAATCGACCGTTACTTTCGGCTTAATCCCAGAAATCCCTTTTGCAGTTTCGGGCAACCAACCCTAGCCAGGGCAGATCGTCCCCCGCAGAAAATCCCCGCCACATCCTTGATTGATTTCGAAGAACAAGGGTCGGCAAATACTCGATCGCATATCAAATAATTGTGCATACCATCTAACGTCTAAAAAAAAAAATGTTCTACTGATAAGCGGCGAAATCCTCTTAACATTTCTTCTAAAAATCTTACACGAAGCATATGTTTGTATCTATAATACGTATTCATCTATAAAAAAGTGGAGTTATGATCAAGAGTAAATTCCTTTATAGAAAATTCCACTATAGTAATTTGAATAGTCTTTTAAAATAAAAGGATACGCTAAGAGATAAGTACGTGGCCTCGCCACGAGATGAACGCGCTATTCGTAAGAAAGAAACATTAAGGAGTTCTATATAAGAAGACGTATTAAAATCGAGTTGAAATCTTCTACAAAAAAATATTTTATTCTTTTGATATCCTCTTAATGTTAGAGAATTTTTCTGATGTACAGCCTCAAAAGGGTAGAAGAATATCATATAACTACGAAATGTGGAGTAAATTAGATTTAAGGTTTCTCTTAATGCTAGAAGTTACCTGGGCATCATCCTATCAATCCATATGATAAATCTTAAACGAATTTTATTTGACCTCGAGGAATTAACAAGACCGAAACAGGTTTTCAATCGAGTTTGCAGAAACGGTTGACAAATACGGTGAGATTCCGGTGAGATCTCGTGCCTTATTGAAGATACCGGCGGCGGCGGCGGCGTGACTAATAAAATCGAGGCGTGTCGCGTCGCGTCGGCTGGCTCCACGCTTGGTTCATAGTCTCACAATCCGCGAATTCGATTTTGATTCGAGGAGCGAATCCGCTTCTCATATACACAGTTTTCTACATTAAAAATTAGTTTTGTGTCTTCATTAAAGAGCAACATTACCATCTGATGTCGATAATCTGCTTAAGTAGGAATGATTAAGACTAAGTAAAAGGTTTAAGACTTCGATTTCGTGACGAATTTCATCTTGAAACGATACGTGTCTAAGAATTGATGTGAGTTTAAATTGATTGTGAGTATTTGCTAAGTGTGGCTTCTGTCTGAGGAGGCACAACACTGGATCATTTAATCCTCCCCTTATCATATGGTCATCAATTCAACTATCTCATATTCTTCGCTATACATTTTCAAGGATTGTAATTGCTTTTTGTCAAAAGTAACTTTAATTGAAATGCACTTGCTATTAGACGCGAATAAAAATAGAGCAAAGTGTAATTGTTCTGTTAAAAAATGATGTTCAATTGTGATATAACAATCTAAGTATATATATATTTATGCTAAGTAAAAATGTTTGAAAAATGTGTTTGATGCAGTTACATAAATATTCCCGATTGATATTCGTTTATATTATAAAAATATGTATATTTACGGAGGAAAAGTTATGATAGGTTCCGAAAATTTTGATTGAAGTAATTCAGCAGGTTGATGACGCGTGTTGTCTTACGTCGCGTGTTACAGAGGAATCCTGGTCCCTTCATTCATTTGGTATAAATATTTATATTCGAGCGCTCTTATACTTCCTGAGCTTTTTCCAAACTCATTTCCCGATGTAAATATTGTTTGCCTTCGCAATCCATCGGTAAGCCTTCGGGGACGCAAAGGAGGAACAAAGATTTCCGTAGGGTGCCTGTGAAGCTATCAAATACAGAAACTTTGCTGTCAGAAAAAGAGATACTCTACTTTTGCCAAAATTTCTTATCTTCTCAACATCTCAAAAATCTTATCAGTATTTTTGAACACGTTTGCTACTCAAACAATCTGACTGTTGAAACGTTTCTGATCATTATCAAATCACGTCAGGCGATCGATGTTAATCTTATTGTAATTCACGTGACTTTGTATAAGCGTACGAGCTTTTCGAACTCGTTAACATATCCCCTAATCCTGTCGATTACTAGAATATATTCTAAAGTGCTGATTCAATCTTTGGATGAAGGATTTGTTCGATGATAAGATTCTTTTTTGGTAAATAAGATGTTGAGATACGATCGATTTATGATGACTATCTTTTTATTCGTAAATCGGTGACAATCGATCACCGATTATTATTTAAATTGCGGATTACATAACTACAGTATTATAAACAATTGTAAAATCGTTATATTTCATTTTCAAATTAGTTTCATATATATATAGTATGTATATATATTTAAAAAGTACATACATATATCTAAGAACACGCATACATACACGCGATTGCAAATTATGGCATTAAGCTAATCAAATCTCGTTCCAGTGCAATCTGTCGATCGTGCGGGGTTAACTGAAAGGAGAAAAATGATGGCCCAATATAAAATACACACCCACTATAAGCCACCCGCGCCGAGAGTAACGCACGCGAAAGCAGGGGCATCAAATTTCATTAGCATATCAATGCTGGTGGATGGCAAGGCGCCACCTGCGCCCTCGTATTATAGGATCATCGGAAAAGCTAGAGGGAGTCATTGTGAATGGGGCCAGGGATTGCACTAGTTAGAAAGATAAAAAAAATTTGTTCCTCGTTTTCGATACATTTTTGCTAATTTCAGCAATACATCGCGAATGCAACAGTAATAAGCATCTCTTACGCTTTTACTATTTTTGCTAAAAAAAAAACATGTTTTTTTTACTTATAAATGTTATTACTTAATTACTCTTAAAAAATATAAATAAAAAAACAGCTACCTTGCAAAAGTGTACGTGTACACTCATTTTCTAAAAGTCAGAAAGAAAGAACAAGTCTTTCATTTGTAACAAAATAGTGTTATCGAAACGATAATATTTAACGTTAGCAAATGTAATATTAATGCTGCTATTTACCGAGTATTTAATAAATAAATACAAGTTAATATTACAACTATATAGATAGAGAAACGTAATGGATGCGTTCAGCAGAACACAACTGTTGCGCAACTGATAAGTTGCAACATTAAGTGTTCTGTTAAATGCCCTTATGACATTAGCTATTGCATGCGTGAGTATATAAAAGAATATAATTTTTACGATATGCAGAAAATATTTCTTTACTTATACATAAAATATATTTATAAGCTATTATTTATACACATTTTTAATCTTCCATTGACAGTGATAGACGGTAGGAACTTTTCATGTGCATCAAAAATGTCTGTACCAAATTACATTGTCACATATGTATATTGTCTATACCGCCAAGAATAATATATGGAATTGGAGACAGCCATTTTGGTCAATTCGTTTTGATTGAGATTCAGCGTAAGTGTACGCTGAGTTTCAATTTGCTGGAAATAATGGCAATTGCTGAGTAAACATGTTGAGATGTTGAGTGCGTTTAGAACTGTTCAGCAGATAATTATAAAATAATTGCAAGCTGTTGCGTTGTACTTATTGAATGCACCCGATGTGCTAATTATATAAAAATACAATTATATAAAACGACAGAAGCAGAATACACACATTACATGTATATATAGGTAAAAATTAATTATACTTTAAACAAAGTTTATCTAGATTTCACTTCAGATTACATAAGATTTTTAATGTCAGAGGTAAAAAATCAGAATTGCAATAAGAAGATATGTATTATATACGTATATATATATATATACATGTATATGCGTCTTGAATCATTGATAATCTGTACACTGTAAAAAATAGCGGTATGAACCATGTGGTGTCTATATAATTTTATCATGTTAAATTTACGCCAACATAATTGTGATTTAACCATGGGTGTTAAATCTACACACTCATGGTGTTAAATCCACGCCATGATGATATTGATATAAATACCAGAAGTTTTTAATCCACGCCATGTTGATGTTAATTTAACATCAACATGAGAATTATATAGACACACCAGGGAAATCGACCCCAACATTTTCTAGAGTGTAATAAACTGGAAAATATCATAATTATTGAAGAAAAAATTAGTGAAAAGATTAGTGAAATGGGCAAAGAGAATCGTTCCTCTAAGAAACGGATTGCGAAGCAATGGATAAAATGCACACAGATTCACCCCCGCGATGGACTTTTATACGAGTTACAGTCATAGGGTGAGGTATAAATGGAAAAAGAGGGTAACACGTAGGCAACACCATTATACCATTAGAATAATCAAATCTCGGATGACCCGACGCGAGCGGAAGGAGAAGAATCGCGCTTTGAAGCAAGTTTACGCATTACATTACGCAATATATTACGTATTACATTATACCGTAAAAGAAATGTCGTGATAATATTAAGAAAATTAGACTATGAAATATATATGTAAACATCTTCAATCATTCATAGCAAAAATTGCAATATATATGTATATACATATATATTTATCATCGCTTCTTTTCCGACTGACAAATCTTTTTCATTTAATTTTTTAAATCTTGTCTTAATAAATCAATATTATTATTTTATTATCATTTATTGATAATTATCTTTATTTTTAATTTCCATATGTTAAAAGTGTTGAGATGCGTTAGGATGTATTATAACGCATACATCTACATATTCCGCCTATCAAATACATGCTTTCTTTTTAACCCTTTTGACATGCATGATAACGCTTCGTATATCATAGCTCACCATACCCATCATCGAGGTTAAATAAAGAAACGCAACAAAAAATAATAATATTAGTAATTTACAATAAAGAGCTAAATAAATTAATAATAAATTCAGTTAATCTTTACAAAACTTTTATTATACTTAAATATTATATTTATATTAATAGTTAAAATTGTAAGAGCTTTTATATCTGTACATATTGCATATGAAAATATGTACGCTAACACGCGTATCTGACATATGCTATAAATAAATTTTAAATTATAATAAATTGTTCAACGTTAATAATTCATTAAAAATTAAATAAATAAACTATTATCCTTCCTTAAAGACATTATCCAATTAATTAAACCTTTTTTCTGTTCATTTATATTACGCTCCGTGTACATACGTATATTAATTATTGACAAATATAAACAAATATAAATAAAGCATGGAAATACGTGCATGGAAACTATAAATCAATGTACCGTCTAGACGTTAAAACGTTATAAACCTGAGTTAATTTGACTTTTCTGCATAATATGAAAGCTTTAAAAATTTATTAAATGTTCATACGTATGTAATCTTGTTATTATATCTTCAATATCTTATTTAAATATACTTTTTTCTCATTTAAATATACTTTTTGTGTTATCTCACCGTGTCTAGCACTCAATGGGCTGGCAGGACTCCGTGGATGTTCCGAAGTTGTTTCATTCTGTGTTTGCTGATGCTGATGATCTTCAGTCGCCGTGACTGTCGCTGCTCCGTTCATAGTGCCTCCTCAAGCATTCGTTATCAGATGTCAAACGCGCTAAAATCGTTATACAACTCCTTTATACCTTTATACGTGACTTAATGATTTCAATATAAAATATAAAACATATAAAACCGTTAAACATGTTTTTCTTGCAACCTAGCGAAACTAACTTGTTTTAATATAAAATATCTATAAAATTAGTCCATGATTTTAACTCATTTCGATGAAGATTAAATTTAAGCAATTTTAACGAACAAAATATTACAATAAATTTTACGTATTTATTCTTATAATTTAGAAAATTTTATTTCTAAGAATTTTTTTAACTGATATTAATACTCTGAAGTTAAAAAAGGATGATTTCAAATATTTTTTTCTAAAAATTCTTTTCTAAAGTAAATATCAATTAAATAGTAATCCTTTCTAGTCTTCTTTAGTAATGTAGCCATCTTATTAATATAATTTTTATTTCTACCAAAAAATTTTTCGTTCTTCTTAGTGACGAGAACTTGATCCAGATTTTATTAAAAATTGTGATTTCAAAGTAAAGATTTAATATGCTCATGGCCATTTAAAGATTATGCAGACTCACGGGCAGAGCAATTTAAGATTCAAAATCTACACTGTAAAACGTAGATCACTTCTTTTAATCACTGATTTTCCACCCTCTTTATTCTATCACCAACTTCTTTAACCGCTCGACTCGATTCAATCTATGGTCCAGTTCTCCAATCCAATAATCACCGGTATCAGCGAATGGAACACTTTGGCAATACCAAAAAAGTCGAAAATTACGAGGCTCGATTCAGACCGGCGCGATTACGCGACGTTGAACGTGAAGTGAGAAAAGATATTTTGATACCGCGATTAGGATCGAGCCGGGGGTAAACGCGCTATTGCGATCGACGTTCCGCTTCGAGATTGACGCGTAAGCGGAACGATCCTTCGTTGATGTTAGATTGGCGTATGACGTTTGCGGCATCCCTATCCGGGATCTGTCGGGCGAGTTGCTGTTACCCGTGGATGACGTTGGCGTCGTCGCCACCGCCGCCACCGCCGCCGCCGTCGACGTCGTCGTGGCGCTTGCCGTGCCGTCGGAGGCAGCGGGCGAGCAGCGCCCGACGCCGATTGGTCCGCCGGCACTTTTGAAGGCGGGATCAGGAGGCAATGCCGGAAAAACGACAAAAACGAGGAGCGGGAGGATTTAACCTATAAGCCTCCACGTTTGACGCGTGCCTCGCCACGACGCCCGTCGTCGGGCTGAAGCGCCTGCGCCGACCCCTTCGATCCTCTCTGATGACGCCTGGTCTCTCCCACCCCCGACGACCCGGACTAAACTACCCCCTACCGAAGCGAGACGTTGTCACGGGAAACGACGCCTACCTGAGCGACGGTGCAATTGTTGATCGTTGGCTACACGACGGCAAAGCCGTCTTTACTGAGTCGCTTTGGTACCGGATAGTCTGGATAAAAAATGACGATGAGCTAAATGCCAACCTAGACTTTTTCGATCCGTCGTAGATTAATTTTAATAAGTAAGAAAAATATTTTGAAACATCTCGGCAACATTGCAACTATATCGTAACGCTCAGCTCATCGTTATTTTTTATTCAGAGAACTATCCGGTACCAAAGCGATTACGTTGTAACATTGCTAAGATCAAATCTCGAAAGATGGTAAAATGATTGACAAGCAAACATTTATAAACGGAACTTAATAATAACAATTAAATAAATTTTTCTATTTTATAATTTAGATTAAACAAACTTTTGAGGAACGTTTACTTGATCAATTCTTGTATAATTTGTGATATAAGAGTCTTATTGAATAACTTATGGAAAGGAAAGTTACGTGTTAGAACTAGCGAGATTATTAAATAAAATGCAGAATCTCAATTTACACACTACATTTACGTAAACAATAAATTATATTTATCAACATTATATTATTTATCAAATTTGAGGTTTTCTAAACAAATATTTCAAACAATTTAAAAAAAATTGAACTGACATGGAATCTTTTTTGTCGTTTTCACTGTAGAGATAGCATTCAAAAGGAGATGCTAACGGAGTAATTAATTGAACGATCGAACTTTCGACTCCTGAAGTATTCTCCCGGACAAATCGAGCGAGATCCAGGAGAGTGGGTGCGAGCAATTGGTAACGGCCGAAGCCACGCGACGCTGAGCATCGTTGTGATGGCGATGGCAGCGGTGGTTGTGGTGGGTGAAAGCTCGACGCCGTCTAGAGGTTGCTGGGTCGCCGCCATGCTGGATTCCTGCCGTCGCGCGAACCCCTAGTTGCTTTCTGGTAATCGTTGCCAGGGATGCTACAACCCCTCCAGATGAAAGTTGCCACGCCCGGATCGTGGATGGACCAATGACGCCGGGACGTCGCGACGACGGCATCTACCAATAGGATTACCCTCTGATACGCTCTTTCGCTTGTCGGCGACTGCTGCATGCCCTTCCCCTGCAATTCCTTTCGTGAAGCTGGATGCTTTTCAATTTCGGACCCACGGCCTCATAAACGCAGCCAACCCCATCCACTCTCACGCTGAAAGATAGATTGGGATAGAAGGGATTGCGAACACAGAGTAGTCAAGTTATTTGGCGTCGGCGTGTCGGTATGCACGCAACAATTGTAATCTGCATGGAATATCGGGAATTGTGAAGCGGAATAATGTATGTGTGTGCGCGCGCGCGCGCGATTATGCGAATGCATATATGTGACAGGATAGTTCGACACATGCACACACACACGCGCGCGCACACACACACAAAACAGAATATTCTAGAATATTTAAAATTATTTTTTGTATAGAGCAAATTAAACTGAGTCGAACAATCCTTTATTATTTCGCAATTTTCGCAACAGGTAACGAGAGATTAATTTCTAAAAATTGCCAAATAAACAAGTCATACTACTAAATGGACGTTTACCTGTCGTAATAGAAGCGTAGGAAGTTGTTTATTATAAGCGATAAGCGACAATTATAATTACGCATAGTGGAAAAAAAACAATACGTAGGGCGATCGTATCTCGCTGCGCGTTTGCGATGGGCTGGGCGAATACACGATCACTAGAAATTAATATCGTTAACTATTGCGAAAATTGCAAAATAATACAAGACTTTTCGATTAAATTTAGTTCGCTCTATTTGCACATAAAAAATAACCCTATATATTTTGGAACACTCTGTATATATGTACGTCTGGAAAAATAGAAATAGTATATTGACAGTGATCAATTATTTTTGAATAATGTAAAACGTTTACATTACATAAAACTGTATATTTCTGATAAAATTATACTGAAAATTATATTCGAATCTTTTATAACTGCAACTTTATTATGTAAACTGTAAATTATAAACTGAAAAGTAAAACCATTACAAACAAATATGATACAAATTGAGATCTAATTTGATCCTCAACTTACAATGATTCTAATTTTTAATTCGAGTATCTTATCAATCTCTATTTAATTTTTGGATAAAAACTTAATATATACGATTAACATTGTCAGAAATAATATATGCAAATTTATATATTATTTGTTATATTTTTACTTTTACGACTATTTTCCTATTTTATAACTTCTTCTTCATTACTTTTTCTATTTATTATGATAATCGTGTAAATAATATACAATAAAGTGTTGACGTTAAGTTATAATCTATACTTATAATATTATTAAGTCTATCATTTGTCGCGTAAAGTATGATTTCTACCATAATCCTTACATTATGCAAACTCAACATATTGAGATTGAGATGTGTAATTACAGATATTATATAATATATATCCTTATCGAAAGATTAAGATTTTCGAGATATATAACAATTACTACCAATTTCTTAAAAATCGAGTATTTGCGAGACATCCATCAAACCTTTGCTCGCCTCGTTTAATGCCACGCTAGAAAGTAGAACGAGTAGCGGAGAGGAAGTTGCTCTTCCTCCCTCGATGAATACCTCAAAGGGGATGTTCCGATCGGTGCGCACATCTCAAGCATCACCCCGCAAATTTATACGCCTCTGCTTTCTTAGCGCGTCTTTTGTGCAATGTTCCTTAGACGAGCGTTATTTTCATGCATGTGTGATAAAGGTATATATGTACTTTATGTGACTTCTCGGAAAAAATTTTTTTTAGCACAACGACGTACGTAATACCAGATTGTGTGGTTGCGTTAAGATATACTTGATAAAAAATATTATGACCTTCGATATAATAATGATATTTAACGGCGGGATTTGTTGTATAAAGAACATACTAAAAAAAGCTGTATGTAATAGAAAGAAAAAAGAATATATTTTTAGAAATTTTTCTTAAGATAAAATTTCCACAACATTATATTTTAATGTTTTAATTGTTAAATTATAAAATAGATATTCTGTTCATAAAAGTAATAAAAATATTTTGTGTTATACGAATTATTTCAGTTTAAAGGTTAGCGGGAATTACTACTTTTTCACTTTCGGTACTGCGATGTGGATTTCCGACTCTTACATTGACGACAACATGTTAAGGATGATGGAATGCATAATGACAGTTTTGGGAAATTCGTTAACAAAGCCCGTTTTTAACTTGATAATTAAATATTTTAATTAATGTACTTTTGTTTGACTTTTATAAACACAAAGGGCCTTTTTGTATTAATCAGTGAAACGTAAAAAAGGTCATCGGAGCTTATATCAGCTGTTCAGATGCACAGAAAATTCTTTATTTTTATATGAATGTAACAATATGAATAAAATAAACGTTTCGACTCTTCAATTCGGATTCTTGTCAATATAAATTATAAACAGAAATTACATAAGTAACGCAAATTCCAGGTTAATGATTTCCGGCAATTTAGTTCGTACTTATGGCCTAATGAAAGCCGAGACGTTCATGTGATATATCACGTATTTAATAAAGATTTAATAAAATAATTCACAAATATATATAAAATTTTTCGTAGGTTTTATGCTTTTTTTATTGTTATTTTTCAAAGTCCTATTTTGTTATTATTGTATTTTTTATTTATTTTTTGGATGAGACTTGCATGTGATACCCACAAAAAATAAATATATGGTGTGGTGTGGTAGATATGGGGTCATTGATAAGACCGTTTTCTGGAAAGAAACATCATACATTAATGCTCAAATGTACGAGAGATTGCTTACAAATCAAATAATTTCAGCCGTACAAAACACTTTTTCAAATAACTTCGAAAGAATCTGATTTTAGATGGAACTTATCCTCATTTTGATGTACAACCACGTTAAATTTTAAATAAATTTTTTCCACAAAGGTAAATAGATAAAAAAAAATCAAGATAAGAGAGGAGGACTAGCTATTCTGATTATCACATTTGACGCCTCTTGATTATTAACTCCCGATCTTGGAGTTACCTTAAAAATAAATACAATAAAACTTGCAAATATATATCAAAAATTGGCAGCGAATAAAAGGAATCTCCAATGATCTTGACAAATATTTTCCAGGTCATGATCTTGAACAACATTCAAG